CCTCTCCTTTCCTCTGAAACCAATAAAAACACATATTAAAAAAAATAATAAATAAATGCTACCCTTTGAGCTCCCAGGTATTTATTACAGACTAGAGGCCCAGTGCACCAGTAGTGGGGGGTCTCTTGGCCTGGCCTGTGGAATAGGGCTGAAACCGGCTCTCCGACATCCCCTGAGGTGGAGCAGGCCAGGCCAAGAGGGAGCAGGCCAGGCCAAGGGACCCCACCGGTGCAAGATCGGGGCCAGGGAGAGATGCAGGAGGTTGGCCAGCCGGGGAGGGACCCCGGGAGGGCTCCAGGGTGTGTTGGGCCCATCTCGCTCAGTCCCGTTCAGCTGGACCCCAGCAACAAGCTAACCTACCGGTTGGAGTGTCTGCCCCCTGGTGGTCAGTGCATGTCATAGTGACTGGTCAACCGGTCCCCCTGGTGGTCAGTGCATGTCATAGCAAGCGGTTGAGCGGCCTTAACATATCATTAGCATATTATACTTTGATTGGTTGAATAGCCAACCATTGGACTGGACACTTAGCATATTTGGCTTATATTATATAGGATAAGGCAACCAAAGAACATATCCTGTATTCCATCTTCTTTCCCCTCAACCCCAATTTTGATTAGAGTATCATTTCTACATCTCTGTATAACAATTATATTCTGTTTTAATACCCTAATTGCCTTGGCTCTTGTAGACTTCTTGTTCTAAAGTTATATGTATCAGATGTTCATCCCCAATCTTTGTGCTAGAGTTCCCTTTATCTCTTGGTTGAGTGAAATTCATCTCCTAATAGTTTCCTCTGGAAGGGCTCATGGGACCTGTAGTCCATGAAATTGTGTCTATTCAAAGCCGTTTGCCTGTCAGCTTTATACTTGAAGGACAGCCCTGTTGAACATAAAATCCTTGGCATGCATTTCTTTTCTAACATAACTGGCAGCTGCTGCTGCACCGTCTGCCGGCACTGAGCGTAACTGCAGAGAAATCTGAGACCCGTTGGTTTCCTCCCCCATATAAGTGGTTGGATCCTTGTCCTTGTTACCCTTTGTCTCATTATTAACCACCCGGGTTAGTTTTCCTTGGCACACACGATGCCTTCCAGGAGTTCTTATATCTTCATAGGTGAAGCTGTCTGTTCTGTTCCTGTGGTTTAGTTTCGTTTTTTGAGAATTCCAGTTACGTTTATTGATTCTCCTTTGTCTAACTTCTGTCTCTTTCTTTCTCTTTGATCCTTCTCACCTCTTCGTTTCCATTTTATTTCACTGCTCTTCTCATTTCATTCCTCCTCCATCTCTGCTTTCCCTGGTGCCTGTATTCTTTTGTGTTTCTTCCCATTTGTGTTCATTTCTCGGGATTTTCCCCTCCTTTCCTGCATTGTTTAAAAAATTTATTTATTTATTTATTTTTTACAGAGAGGAAGGGAGAGGGATAGAGAGTTAGCAACATCGATGAGAGAGAAACATCGATCAGCTGCCTCCTGCACACCCGCTACTGGGGATGTGCCGCAACTAAGGTACATGCCCTTGCCCAGAATTGAACCTGGGACCCTTCAGTCCGCAGGCCGATGCTCTATTCACTGAGCCAAACCGGTTAGGGCTCCTTTCCTGCGTTTTGCCAGTTCACGTTTCATTGTTTCACCATCTTTTCCTCAAGTTCTCCTTTAGGATCTTTCTGCACAGAGCTGGTTGCTTCCTTTAACTTTTTAAAAAATATATATATTTTTATTGATCTCAGAGAGGAAAGAGAGGGAGAGAGAGATAGAAACATCAATGATGAGAGAGAATCATTGATTGGCTGCCTCCTGCACATCCCTTACTGGGGATCGAGCCACAACCCACGTATGTGCCCTTGACCAGAATCGAACCCGTGACCCTTCAGTCCGCAGGCCGACTTTAACTTTTTTTATGGATGAAAAATTGCCACTTTTTTCCATAATAACAACTCCTATGACTACTGCCCGAGAGTCAGAGGCGCTGTCCTCAGGTGGCCCTTCTGTGTGATCCTGGTTGCAGCCTCACTTCCTTTTCTTGTCTGAGCCCAAGAGGCCAGCCTTGCCTATCCCAGCCCCAGAGGCAGTGTTGCCTCGAAGGCAAGTCCTTACCTTCAGAAAGAGCTTTTCTGCCCAAGCTGTTGGGGATCTCCTTCACCTGGGTACTGGCCCTCTCCTCACACTACTCTCCGTGCTTGTCCTCCCTCTGCCTCCCTCACTGGCTTCTGCAGTCTCCGCTGTTTTTGGAAGAATATGCACGCCCTTCCTGACATATTACATATATTAGTGTCTGCAAATTAACCCTCTTCCTAATCTCACTGAAATGAAGCTTGAGTGTTTGTTTTCCCTGTTGCTTCTGAGATCATCTTAGGACAGTGATGGCGAACCTATGACACGCGTGTCAGAGGTGACACACAAACTCATTTTTTTTGTTGATTTTTGTTAAATGGCATTTAAATATATAAAATAAATATCAAAAATATAAGTCTTTGTTTTACTATGGTTGCAAATATCAAAAAATTTCTATATGTGACACGGCACCAGAGTTAAGTGAGGGTTTTTCAAAATGCAGACACGCCAAGCTCAAAAGGTTCGCCGTCACTGTCCTAGAACATACCAGGGCTTCAGATGTTAAGGCAGCGAAGCCTTTAATAGCGAATGTTCCTACTCAGAAGAGAACAGTTAGTAAAGTCATAAAAAAATGTTTTTGGTTGTGTGAGCTTGGAGAAAATAAACCGGGGCCTCAACCTGGAGGCCCTGTTTTATAGCAAATCTCTGGGCTAGAGACTTGCAAAACACTGTTGCAGGAAGTTGAGGAACCAGAGACCTACTGGCCCTGGCCAGGTGGGAACCAGCATTGTGCCCGTCATGCCTACACCCATACCCTGGAGATCTAGGGGGCGTGGGAAGGAGGGCAACTATACGTACCCACATATTACCAGCAGTGTATGTCAGTGTGAGCACGAATTGTAATTATGTGCCTATTTGCAGGTTTAAATATAATTTTATATTGACTAAAGGCATGAGTGGAACCCAGGGTCTACCTAAAGGATACATGTCAAATTTAATCATGTGCATAAATGGAAATTTACATTAAGTCATAGAAACTAATCACTGAATTGAGCATTACCGTACATGTAGTTTATTAGCTTTAATAATGGAAATGTCACTAGGACTTTCGGATTATTTTGCTAATTGTCTTTCCTGCTATGGATAGATTTTCTTTTAATATATTTTTTATTGATTTCAGAGAGGAAGGGAGAGAGAGAGAGAAACATCAATGATGAGAGAGAATCATTGATCAGCTGCTTCCTGCACACCCACGAGCCCGCAACCTGGACATGTGCCCTGACTGGGAATCAAATAGTGACCTCCTGGTTCATAGGTCGACGCTCAACCACTGACCCATACCGGCTGGGCTAGATTTGCTTTTCTAAGTGGGGTCTGAGGTTAGGTCTTAGAAATACTCAGGCAATGGTCTTTATCAATAACCCATTGATTTATTTCTGAATGTGCTACAGAATTAAAAAAAGAAAAAGAATTGAAGACACCTTATAGAAATCGTGCACAGGGAAATTATAGTAAAAAAGAACATCATGGGAGGGGAAAATGAAAGAACACACACTGCGTGCTGTAAAGCCATCCATGTTCCTGCTCTGAGTTTTTGGCTCCAAGTTGCCAAGCAGGCAACGCAAAGACGAAGTCATACCTGGGGAATGAGGCCGACACAAATTGGTTGCTCAGGAGAGCAGCGTTTTGGTAGTTTGTTCCAAGGGAGATTTCCTCCTTGAGCTCATCAAGAGGACATCGTGTGTTACAAACAATGTCATCGGCAACTTCCTGGCAGCGTTAATGTTTCTGACAGCCCTAAGTACTAATGACAGTTCTTACCATGTTTGTCACAATCAGCCAGAGCCATTACACCAACACTCAGTTCACTGAGTGGGTTCCCGGGGGAGTCAGAACAGTGTGGCCCCGGCTCACAGCTTTCTGCTGCTCTGGCTTAATCCTGGGATAGATTCATTAGAGTCTCTAGTCTCAGGAAGGGCTTGCATTTTCTTCCAGAAATCATCCCTGGTGATTTATTTTTATTTTTATTTATTTATTTTTTTTATTGCTTACAGTATTACAAAGGGTATTACATATGTGTCCCTTTTTTTCCCCCCGCCCGTGACAATCCCCTGGCCTTCCCTACCCCCCAGTGTCTTATGTCCATTGGTTATGCTTATATGCATGCCTACAAGTCCTTCGGTTGACCTCTTACCCCCCTCCCTCCTGCCCCCCACCCCTCCCCGGCCTTCCCGCCCTGGTGATTTCTTTCACCCAAATGCTTGGTAAGTACTGGGTAGTAGAGGGTTTGACAAGGTTCTGGAAGGTAGGTATTTTGTGTATTACAGATGGGAAATACATGTATAGGCACACTCTGTAGATAAAGTTAAGGGCTTTTTAAACTGCCCCCTTACGAGTTTCCAGTCATCTGGAGGATTACCAGAGCCCTTGTTGCAGGCATCCTGTCGTCTTGTCTGAGTCTTACATGCCAACTAAGATTATAAACATGATACATATTTTAATGCATGAGATTATTATATAAACTCCTTTTGAAAGGAAAATCAGCTTTAGGGAAATTTCTGTGGTGCCAATAAAAAAATTCATCAAATTTAATTGAGCCCCTACTAAGCATCAGGCACCATGGTGTGCATTGGGGGTCATGTCCCCTGTTACTTTCCCTTGATTAGGATCTTCAGATTTCTACTTGCCCTCATTTCCCAGCGGAGAAACGAGTAGAGACAGAACCCACAGCTTTAAGACTTAGAAATTCTGGGTGATTACCAGGAAGTTTGAGACCTGGTAACTAGATAACCAGTTAGAAGAAAATAAACCTGGTTTTTAAAAGTCTTCAGGAATCTTTAGCCTCTTTATTTTCATTAGAAGTTGAAATTTTTAAAATTTCCCCCTTGGTTTCCTTTTCTCATCACAGGGAATTGAGTATAAATGGTATGTTTTTTCTTCATCATTTCAGATTTTGAGATCCCGAGTGAAAACGGGGAGAACTCTAATCAAGACATATTTGAGGACATGGAATCACATGGGCTCTTCTCAGAAACACCTGAAGGGGAAGGTGTTCAGCAGTCTGATTGGGAAAGTGACCTTGAGAGAGACTGTGGCTCTAGGGGTCTCCAGGGAAAGGCCTCAAGTGAAGACCACAGGGAAGTGCCATCACAGGGCAGGGAAGCTGGACAGCTCATCGGCCTTCAGGGCACCTACCTGGGTGAGAAGCCCTACGAATGTCCCCAGTGTGGGAAAACCTTCAGTCGGAAATCCCACCTCATCACGCATGAGCGGACCCACACGGGAGAGAAATACTACAAATGCGACGAATGTGGAAAAAGCTTTAGTGATGGTTCCAACTTTAGTAGACACCAAACGACTCACACCGGGGAGAAACCTTATAAATGCAGGGATTGTGGGAAAAGCTTTAGCCGGAGCGCAAACCTCATAACCCACCAGAGGATCCACACGGGCGAGAAACCCTTCCAGTGTGCCGAATGTGGCAAGAGTTTCAGCAGGAGCCCCAACCTCATCGCTCACCAGCGAACCCACACGGGAGAGAAACCATACTCATGCCCTGAGTGTGGCAAGAGCTTCGGCAACCGGTCCAGCCTTAATACACATCAGGGAATCCACACTGGAGAAAAGCCCTACGAATGTAAAGAATGTGGCGAGAGCTTTAGTTACAACTCCAACCTGATCAGACACCAGAGGATCCACACCGGGGAGAAACCATACAAATGCCCCGACTGTGGGCAGAGGTTCAGTCAGAGCTCAGCCCTCATCACCCACCGGAGAACTCACACAGGAGAGAAGCCCTATCAGTGTGGCGAGTGTGGGAAAAGCTTCAGCCGCAGCTCCAACCTGGCCACACACCGCAGAACCCACCTGGTGGAGAAGCCCTACAAATGCGGGGAGTGTGGGAAGAGCTTCAGCCAGAGCTCGAGCCTGATCGCGCACCAGGGGATGCACACGGGCGAGAAGCCCTACGAGTGCCTGACCTGCGGGGAGAGCTTCAGCTGGAGCTCCAACCTCATCAAGCACCAGAGGATCCACACGGGCGAGAAACCCTACAAATGCGGCGAGTGTGGGAAGTGCTTCAGCCAGCGCTCCCAGCTGGTGGTGCACCAGCGGACCCACACGGGCGAGAAGCCCTACGAATGTCTCATGTGTGGCAAGAGCTTCAGCCGGGGCTCCATCCTGGTCATGCACCAGAGAGCCCACTTGGGGGACAAGCCCTACAGGTGCCCCGAATGTGGGAAGGGCTTTAGCTGGAATTCAGTTCTCATTATACACCAACGAATCCACACAGGGGAGAAGCCCTACAAATGCCCTGAGTGTGGCAAAGGCTTCAGCAATAGCTCCAATTTCATTACACATCAGAGAACTCACACGAAAGAGAAACTTTATTGACGTGGCGAAAAGGAAAAGTGGAAAAGGGGCCAGCCCAGGAGGGAATTGTCCCACTGCGCCCAAGCCAGGCTATCTCATTAGAAGAGCCATTCTTCCTGAATGGTCTTTGGGGATTTGTGCCAGAATCTCACCACTGCTCATCCTCATTCCTAGGGTCCCATCATCTTAGTGGTCGGAGCCAAACCCCAAGAACAGTGTAGGACTGGGAGGTCGGGAAGTTGGGTCTTTTTCTGTTTTGTTTCATGGCTTGATTGACTTTCTCTCTCCTGATCCCTCTGTACCCCAGTTTGCTCTTTGGTAGACGGAGTGTTCCTCCACGTGGAACAGAAGACAGCATGGCCCACATCTTGCGGAGTCCTCAGAGAAATACTGGAAATCTATTGGCGCAGCCTGGTTGTTGTACTGCCCCTTTGTTAGACTGAGGCGCCCTCAGCCCCAGCTGCTAGCGTTCCAGGCCCCTTGCCCACGTCAGCACCATTTCTTCCTGGCTCTGTCCTGGGCTTTGATTTCAGGTCAAGGTGGAGCGGCTCCTGTAATTCTGAGTCATCACATGAAGGAAAAGTCCTCTCTTGAAAGTGTCAGGAGCACTGAGACACTGTGTATGTCCTGGAACCAGCGTCCCAGTAGCCTTTCTATTGTAAGAGTGGAACGGGGCCTGCCAGGGAGGTATAAAATGAGATTTACATCTTTGCTTTGTCTCCGCTATCGTCCGGCGGTGAGTCAGCTGCCAGGGGGAGCGCTCTAGTTTTTGTGGGGCTTCCTTTTTGGAGTGTGAAGGCGGCGACTCCCAGCTGTCCACCCTGGTGGGTGGCAGTTTCTCTCTCACCAGGTTCAGGGAGGCAGCCCTGCACTCCGCAGGGTGGGCCTGTGTCTACCCCACAGACACAAAGCTCCGCAATCATTACTCTGTGCGCCTGTCAGTTCCTCATTCTTACGTTTTTTTTTATTTTCTACATGCAGAGCTAGAATTCTGTCCAGCAGCTTTTGTACACTTAAGAATGTTATTTTGAAGGAAGCGTTGGTTTTGAGGACACGTCATCTGTCCCCTGGAGAGATCTGGGCTTGAGTCAGGAGTTGACCCACCGAGGTTGCCTTTGCTTTTAGGGTGCCACCAGGGCTTTGTTCTTGGGTCCTTGAGCCTTGAAACAGTAAAGATGGGCGATAGCAGGTGAAGGGGTTTGTTATGAGAAAAGGAGAGTAGAGAGGACGTTTCTGGGAAATGTGAATCCACCTCCTGTGCATGGGGCCTGCTCTTGAAATGGGCCTTGGTCCTCAGGATGGATGCTCAATGTTGCCTAATAAAGCAGAGTCCCATTCTCTTCCTGACTCTGACTTGTAATGTGTGTCAAAAACCTGAACTTGACTGTCATTAAGAAACCCACACCTCACTGCCCACCATCCCGCCTCCTGCCCCAAGCTGAAAATGGTCCAAGAACTTCAGGAAGTAAAAATCAGTTGCTTTGCCCTAACCGGTTTGGCTCAGTGGATAGAGCGCTGGCCTGCGGACTGAAGGGTCCCAGGTTCGATTCTGGTCAAGGGCATGTAGCTTAGTTTCGGGCACATCCCCAATCAGTGTTTCTAACTCTCTATCCCTCTCCCTCTCTCTAAAAAATCAATAAAATATATATTTTTAAAAAATCAGTTGCTTCAGCCCCAGCTGGTTTGGCTCAGTGGATAGAGCATCGGCCTGCGGACTGAAGGGTCCCAGGTTCGATTACGGTCAAGGGCATGTACCTTGGTTGCAGGAACATCCCCAGTAGGGGGTGTGCAGGAGGCAGCTGATTGATGCTTCTCTCTCATCGATGTTTCTAAACTCTCTATCCCTCTCCCTTCCTCTCTGTAAAAAATCAATAAAATTATTTTTTAAAAAAATCAGTTGCTTCAAAGAGCATACCTTTGGGTGAACCTAGATCTGTGTGCCTGACCAGGGCGCACACCTTCCCAGAGTCCTTTGCCACTCTGTACCCAATCTGTCAACCAAGACTTGGAGCCGCAGCTTTGGCTAAGGAGCCAGATGGCCTCCTGAATCATCTCTATCCAGAATCACCTAAATTAGACACAAGGAGGAGTTTCTAACCTAGGTAGTGATTGTTAAACCAACCACATTGGTGTTGAAATCCGCATCATTAATTCCATCCCTGCTAGGTACTGGGGAAGGCTGTGAACAGGAAGTCCCATGACCTGGCTTCAAGTTTTACTAGAAGAAAAATTCCCACCACCACCTCCGTCAGGCCTTCCCTGCACTTTCTGGCAGGCCTGAACCTGCCTACCATACCCCTACCCGCTACAACTTCAGTGCCTGTGACCTATTCCATCTCTCTTTTTTTCCCAGTTTTTTAAAATTGATTTTAGAGAAAAACATTGATTTGTTGTTTCACTTAGTCATGCATTTATTGGTTGATTTTTGTACATGCCTGACCAGGGATCAAACCCACAACCTTGGCGTATCAGGACGACACTCTAACTAACTGAGCTACCCGGCTACATCTCTCTCTTACATAATTTTGCCCCCTCCCTCATATATATATTTTTTTAATATATATCTTATTGATTTTTTACAGAGAGGAGGGGAGAGGGATAGAGAGTTAGAAACATCGATGAGAGAGAAACATGGATCAGCTGCCTCTTGCACGCCCCTACTGGGGAGGTGCCCGCAACCAAGGTACATGCCCTTGACCGGAATCGAACCTGGGACCCCTGAGTCCGCAGGCTGATGCTCCATCCACTGAGCCAAACCAGTTAGGGCCCTCTTCTATTTTTTATGTTCACACCCATACTGAGGTCCCAAACTCTGTCTCCAGCACCCAGCTCAGGGCCTGGAATACGATAAGAACTCAGTAAATTTTTGCCAACTGAGTTCTCTTCATGGAGATATATGGGTGTCCCAAAAAACTATATACACACTTTAACAGCTGATGACTCAATTTTTACTCCTTTTCAGGTTTAACAGACACTGACTTTATAATCATTCAAAATATGTATATATTTTTTGGGGACACCCTGTATATAAAATGCAAGAGGCAGGTGGAGTTCAAAATTCTGGTCTGAAAAATGATTAGATTTTCTACACTTTACTAAGACAATAAATGTAAGTTTTAACTTCAGTGCTCACAAAAGTTGTGATCTATTGCTATTGGTGAGACAAATCTGAAGACATTTATAAAAACCAACCAGCATGTATCCTAATGAAAACTTTATATTTTTGAACTGTCACAGAGCCTTAAAAGCCATTGAAAAACCAGTGGTGTGGTGAATAGAATCGAGGGAGCTGGACAGACCTGGTTCTAGACACACCTGTGCCACTAAACACACATTCTCATCAGAGATTTTACCACTCCAGGCAAGTCATAATGAGACTTCCCTTTAATCCCCCCATGGAATTTTACCTCCTTTTGGGTTGTATTTATAGTTTACATAAGCCACAATAGGTTATATAATAACACAATTTATGGAGTGGTTACTCTGCACAGGCTCTGTGCTAAGCTCTTGACATGCATATCTCTCTCTCTCTCTTTCTCTCTCTCTCTTTCTATATATTGATTTCAGAGCAGAAGGGAGAGGGAGAGAGATAGAAACATCAATGATGAGAGAGAAAATCATTGATTGACTGCCTCCTGCAGCCCCCTACTGGGGATGTAACCCACAACCCAGGCATGTGCCCTTGACTGGAATCAAACCCAGGACCATTCAGTCTGCAGGCTGACACTCTATCCACCAAACCAGCTAGGGCAGCGGTTCTCAACCTGTGGGTCGCGACCCCTTTGGGGGTCGAACAACCCTTTCACAGGAGTCAACCCACAGGTTGAGAACCGCTGCTATAAAGGAAGTAGAAGTAGAATTGTATGGATGGTCAGACTTTGAGACAAGATTTCAGAACCTGGTGGAGAGCAGGTCTGGTGGTTCATCCCCTTTGGCTTTCCACCCAGTCACTGGTACCAAAGAGTTTATGCCTCTGGCATCAGCAGGGACTGTGGCTCCAGGGCCCACCTGCCCCTGGCTCCCTCCTCCTCCCTCTTCCCTAGTACCAACTGAGAATTTTCCATCTGTTCACAGGCCCAAGGCAGCTGGAGAACTACACGAAGAAGGGTCTGGCTTCAAGGAAACATTTGCCTGGGCCCCTCCTGGCTCACAGGCCTGGCAGCCACAGCATCTCTGCTGTTTGTTTACTCTGCTGGTGTCTGAGGGAGGGATGCCTTGCCAGGAGGCCTCAGGGGGTGGCACATCTTGGCAAATGCACCACAGCTGAGTTCTGGTCTCAGCCTTTCTTATTTTTTTAAAAAAATATATTTTACTGATTTTTTTACAGAGAGGGAGAGGGACAGAGAGCTAGAAACATCAATGAGAGAGAAACATCGATCAGCTGCCTCCTGCACATCCCCCACTGGGGACGTGCCCGCAACCAAGGTACATGCCCCCGACTGGAATCGAACCTGGGACCTTTCAGTCCGCAGGCCGACGCTCTATCCACTGAGCCAAACCGGTTACGGCGGTCCCAGCCTTTCTGATGCAGTGCACTCAAAGGTGACTAGAACCCGGGTGCTAAGCTTCTGTTAACAATTTCCAAGACCAGATAGATTCTGGAACCCTAATTATTATCGACAGTGGAGGAATCTCCAATACTAAGCCACCTGCAAGGACCCCTTGCTCCTGGTCTCCGGTGACTGAAATGGTGGCTTTGTGATCAGATAGTGGTTGATCCAACATGTAATGAAAGAAAGGGGTCAAGTGAGGGACAGGTAGACACCAGCCATGAACCCCCTCACTTCAAAGTCCTGCTTCTCTTCCCTGCCCCCACTGCTGTCTGCTCAGTGCCCAAGGTTCCCTCCTTAACCCTTCCAGGTTTCCCTGCTGAACATGCCCCTTTTGCAGCTAGGTTAGTGTCTCTGGTTAGGTTGGAGTAAAATAGATGATCCAGGCCTAACCGATTTGGCTCAGTGGGTAGAGCGTTGGCCTGCGGACTGAAAGGTCCCAGGTTCGATTCTAGTCAAAGGCACATATCCGGGTTGTGGGCTTGATCTCCAGTAGGGGGCGTGCAGGAGGCAGCCGATCAATGATTCTCTATCATCATTGATGTTTCTTTCTCTGCATCTCCCTTCCTCTCTGAAATCAATAATAATAATAAAAAAGAATGATCTAGTAGACCTAGGAAACATTAACCTCCACTCATTACCTGTGGCTGTAATTGAGTTCCTAGAGAATATGCCTATTTCCTTCATCTCAAAATCCTTTCTCCTTATGCACTGCTTATAGACCCCTCTGTTCATTACTTTTCTAAATATATCAATGAGCCCTAGCTGGTTTGGCTCAGTGGATAGAGCGTTGGCCTGTGGACTGAAGGGTCTGAGGTTCGATTCCGGTAAAGGGCACATTCCTCTATGGCCTTTGGCTATTTTATCAAGTAAAGAGGGTGAAAAAAGGGAAGCCCGGGCATGTGCCCCGACTGGGAATTGAACCGTGACTTCCTGATTCATAGGTCTATGCTCAACCATGAGCCACACCAGCTGGGCTCATCTGCAAAATCAATGACAGTACTTGCTCTTCCCATTCCAGAAGGCTGCGGGGAAAGGGTGAGTCACTCTGTATGGCAGTGGACATGGACATCCTATTCTCTGTGATAATATTGATAACTCTGACCTACGTGGGGCCTGCTTTCACCAAAGAATTTTCTGTCTAGCTTTCTGAGACTAACTGTCCTCTGAGGAACCAGGAAGGCTGCAACTGGAAAAGCATCCCGCGTATGTAGACTATTGGGGGTCCTTTAGTCCCAGACTTTGGGACGCAGCTCAAGGACATGCGTGCCTGTCTTCTTCCTTGAAGTACTGGGTGTGGTGCAATGGTGAAGGGGATAGGAGTTGTGTTTGAGGCTACCCTTTTCAGGCTGGATTTCACTGCCAGTCAGAGTTCCATGTGCTCAGAAGCTCCCTGAGTTACGGGAATGGGCAATGAACTTGGATTAGTTTTCCATTTTCTTTTTTAAACAGTGGAACCTCTTTTGAAGTGCAATCTTACAGTAACAGAAAACATGTGGCAGCAGAGCTGCTGTGGTGACCAGACCTGGCTGGGGTCTACCCACTTAGCAGTCCCCGAGGCAGCCCTGAGGCACTTCTAGGCTGTCCCAGGGAGTGGTTTGAAAGCCAGGGTGCATGTCCCGAATGTGCTGGCCAGAATTTCCACAGTGGCCCTCTCAGAACCACTGCTCTTAAGGTCAGAAGTCTCCCTGGCCCAGACTCAATGCTGCACTGGGGACTCTCTGGAGAGCCCCCCCATTACCATGTCCCACCGCAGGCTTCCCCTCCTGCGGGGAGGATCACAACTTCATCCACTTTCAACTGAATTTTGAACCTTTCACCTGTTAAACAGGGAGTGAGCCCTACACTGCAGGACTCATTGTCAATATCTAAACTATCCTGTATAATAAAAGGCTAATATGCAAATCGACCGAACAGTGGAACGACCGGTTGCTATGATGCACACTGACCACCAGGGGGGGCAGACGCTCAATGCAGGAGCGGCCCCTGGTGGTAAGTGTGCTCCCACAGGGGGAGCAACACTCAGCCAGAAGCGGGGCTCATGGCTGGGGAGCACATAGGTGGCAGTGCTAAGGATGTCCCATGGCCATCAGTGGGACATCCCCAGAGGGCTCCTGGACTGCCAGAAGGGCAGGCTGGGCTGAGGGACCCCCGCCCCAGTGCACGAATTTTGTGCTGGGGCCTCCAGTATAAAATACTAAAGTAGGCACTCAAAGAGTGGTTTCCTCTCCTCCCCACCCCCCCAAAGAAAACCCTCCAGGCTCTCCCAGCCCCTCCACTGTTTCTCCCCTCACACTTGCAGCGCACACACCTCACTGAGCACCTACCGCACTCCCTGGGGTATTTGCGCTGCTCACAGCAGGTCTGAGGAAATGCACCCATCCTGCTGCACCGCAGTCCAGGCCCTAAGGGAACGGTGCTTGCTGGGCTCCAAGCAGTCCAGGCCCTAAGGGAACGGTGCTTGCTGGGCTCCAAGCGGTCGCTCCACAGCTGATGGCTGCGCGCTAGCGCCGGCGGGGTCCCCCTGCCTCTCCCAGGGCTGTGCTCACAGACGTGAGGGAGTGGGGGTGCGGGGTGTCGGGCGAGGACTGAGGGGGTGACGCGTCACCACAGAGGACACCCAGGACGGAGAAGTACTTTCTCTGGTGGCAAAATAACTGGGTCTCAGCTCCACACGAGCGGCCTCGGCGGAGCCACCGGCTGGGTGACCGCCGGTGTGACGCGGGTCAGCGGGGGCTCGCGGGGATACTCGCCCGCCTTCGGCGGCCAGGGACACTTTGGAAAGAACCCCCTCTCTGTGCCACCGGCCGGTAGGGTGAGAGGCTGCCGGCTCCCCGAATTCCCGCTCAGTCACTTCCAGCTGCGGTTCCGAACCCCGACTTCACTTTGTGGGAAAGCCCCACCCCTCGGCAATGATTCGTCCGGAACAAATCGCGCCTAAACCATCTCCGAATCTTATTGGCTACCGCTGCCGTCAGTCTGTGGGCACAAGCGGAGACCTATGGGAAATGAAGTCCGGCGAAGCTCGAACCCTCCTGGGGCTGGCGTTTTCGCTCCTGGTGTTTGGTGGGCGACCGAGGGCCCAGATTGGGGGTCTGGATCGGGGTCCGAGTGCAGTGTGGGGCCAGACCTCCCGCAGTCGCAGGGGCCTTGGCGGACGGAGCGGCTTGGGTCGCCCTTGCCGGGTGGGCGTGGCCGGACCGAGATCTTGGGTCCCCAAGTGGGTCCAGGGCCCGCGAGCGGACCGGGGGCAGGACACGTCGTCACGCCGGCGGCACCCTTTCCCCACCGCCCTCCGGGGACGACCTCGCCCCCCGCCAGGGTAGCCCTTGGAGCAGCGTTAAGTCAGGCTCTGCAGGCCTGTCACCCAGCCCACGGTCCAAGGGCAGAGCCACTGTCCCAGTTCTTGCCATAAACCAGTTGTGAGACCTGGGGCGAGTTTAAGCCCCGACTGCCTCAGCTTTGAGTCAAAGCCGGAATATCTTAACTTTCCTTCCAACTCTAACACCCCGTGAACCTGTTTTTATCATCTTTGCTCTTAAAGCCTGTAACCTTAACCACCGTAAGCCTTCCTGTTTGGGAGAGTTATGGTGCCAGGACTGAGGAATCCTGAACGGGGCGCCCAAAGCCGAGAACTCAGCCAGATGCGAGGCAGCTGAGCAGTTGGAGCGTTTGAATCTGAAGGGCCAGCCACCGCCACCCGGTGCTGCTCTCCAAGGTGCTGCTACGTTGGGCGCCCTCTGTGCTGGCCCTGCACATTCACTTTGCAACACTGGTGACCAGTGGCTGCGGAGGGTGAGTTTATTGTCCCCATTATCTCTGTAGCCCATCCTCATTCTTTAGCATGGATAACTGGCATTTTCTCAAATTGCTATGCAAACACAGCTCCATACGCCTTTACTTTCCAACCAGATCACCTGTCTTTGCCCCCTCCTATCAAACTTCTGGAGCTGCCTCCCCAGTGAGAGGGCCAGACCCCACGGGCACCAACACACGGGGAGGGAAGAACAGGAAGGCTCTTTCTTCACCTCAGTCCTGCTGGGATGACTGACACTGGCGGCTTTCACTAGGGTTCACTCTGTAATGTATGTCTCTGGTTCTAGTTCTACTGAGTGGCTCCCCTCTGACGGTGGCTTCCCAACGAGGTAAAGGAAGAGGTTTCGACTTCAGAACACGGTTATAAGGTTCTTCTCTGAGCTGAACAATGGCTGTAGCTGGGGACCAACAAATCCGGGCTCCTCAAGTACAAGGAGAGCTTCGAATAGTGAAGCTGGAAGATTCTCACTGGGAGCAGGAAATTTCCCTTCAAGGGAGTGGCCCCAGACCAATGCTTTGGCATTTCCACTCTCAAGAAGCGTCAGCACCCCAGGAGACTCTCATCCATCTCCGGGAGCTCTGTCGCCAGGGGCCGAGACCAGAGAAGTGTACGAAAGAGCAGATCTGGAGTTGCTAGTCCTGGAAGAGTACCTGACTGTCCTGCCCCAGGGGACCCAGATCTGGGTGAGACAAAACACCCAGAAAGTGGAGAGGAGGCAGTGGCCGGAGGACTTGCAGAACCCGGAAGATGGGGGCTGCAGGTGAGATATGGAACCTAGTTCTGACTAGTCAAAATAGAGGAATGTGAGAGACAGAGCCACCCGAGTTGCCAGCAGTGAGGGGGATGTGCAGTACTTCGCTGTTTGTGTCAAAGTGGAATTTGCCTGTTTCTTGGAACTACAGTTTTCCTCCCAAGTTCACACGGACTCTTCAGAGAATGCACAGCCTTGGTTGCTCTGAGCGGTCCCTGTTAAATGAGTGGGGATCGAGCCCACAACCCAGGCATGTGCCCTTGGCCGGAATCAAACCTGGGACCCTTTAGTCCGCAGGCCGATGCTCTATCCATTGAGCCAAACCGGCGAGGGCTAAATGAAAACTTCTTAAAATGCTGAGCACTACGCTGATCAAGGAGGAGCTGTCATCCAGCAGCAGCCAGCCAGAATCACGGGGCTTCACTGGTCTTTACTGACACGATTGAACCTTTGGGTCCTATTGCAAAGTAGCTGTATTGTTGGATGGATCTCTGAGTTTTGATTAGGGGTTGACAGGAGCAGCCCCAAGAGAGCTGGTGGGCAGGTTGCTGTGGGCCTGGGCCCCAGACTTATGTCTCTGAAGCCTTCCACACATGCACACTCTGATCTGACTCCAACACAAGTGTCTTAATCGCTATATCAGCCTCCCAACTGTACAAAGTGCCGGGAGCCAGAGCTTACATGGGGGTGGGCTGTAAAGTCAGGACACCAGGAATGACTGTGCATGGTCAGCACTGCTCTTGAGAAGGCCCCCCACCATCCATTAGGCCAGGAAGGCGTCTCTCGTGCCCAAAACCTGTGGGATTGACACCTGCTGGAAGCAGCAGGATCCTGTCGCCCACAACTGTCTGATCTAAGAGTAGCCACCAAATCCCTATCCTGCATCCTACCTGGTATTTCCCCATATATTTCTTCTAACTTCCCCAACAACCCTGTGAGGTAGTTACTACTCTTCTCATTTTACCAATAAAGACACTGAGGCTAAGAGAGGCTGCTTCACTGGCCCAAGGTGACTCCGCTGGTAACAGGGACTGTGGTCACTTGAGTCCTAAATCAGTGCCCTTGTTGTGCGTACAGCAGCTCCTCTTCCAGGGGCCTGGCAGGAAGACGTTGGTGTCAGCGGGAGACACGGAGGTCCACCCAGTCCCACACGTGCACAGAGGCATCACTTGCTGCTGACAACAAAGTCCTTGGCTTGCGGGGGTGCCAGGTGTGGGTGGTGACCAGCGGAGCAGCGCCTGTCCCATGGTCATCTAGGAAGACGTGACCTCTGTGAGTGAAGAGAGGTTCTACGTGGCCCTCCATTCCATCCAGAGACGTGACATCATAGACCTGGACTGTCCCATCAAAACCTGAGGAACGAGAAATGAGAAGAGCAACAATGAATCTCTAAAATAATTTTTATAACTTGCTCTATGGCACCAAAACGATAGGACGAGGAACCTAATAGTAAACTAGATACTTAATGGCCAACCAAGGGTGTGGAACATCTGACCTCATGCCGGCAGCTGCCAACTCCATGGGGCATGTGACGACGAGAATCTATAGTATATCATGTGCCAGGCCTGAGGCTAATCCTGTATCTACATTCTCTCTTTTAATTCTCACAACTGTATGAAGTAGGTACTAATACTTAAATCAGGAAACTGAGGCTTAAGACTTTTTAAACCTTTCCACTTGCTCCAAATTCTAATCCATCTGGGTCTCAGTAGATGGCCTCATCTCCACACTGATGCAGAAAATCGAAGCCACAAGAGCAGTGGTTCTCAACCTTCCTAATGCCGCGACCCTTTAATACAGTTCCTCATGTTGTGGTGACCCCCAACCAAACATTATTTTTGTTGCTACTTCATAACTGTAATTTTGCTACTGTTATGAATCATACTGTAAATATCTGATATGAAGGATGTATTTTCATTGTTACAAATTGAACATAATTAAAGCATAGCGATTAATCACAAAAACAATATGTAATTATATATGTGTTTTCCGATGGTCTTAGGCGACCCCTGTGAAAGGGTCATTCGACCCCCAAAGGGGTCGCGACCCACAGGTTGAGAACCGCTGCGCTAGAGGACCATTCTCATGTTCCCCCCACGACCTAGCTCCATCTGCTGTCTTCCTGTTAAAAGCCAGTCCCTTCCCCCACACTTGGTTCTTGCACTCTTTCTGGATCTTGCCATTACCAATGATCTTTTCTTGCTCTCTCAACCTCTCCCCCTCTTAATGGATCCTTCCCATCGGCCTTTATTATTATTATTTTTAATATTTTTATTGATTGCAGAGAGGAAGGGAGAGACAGAAACATCAATGATGAGAATCAATGATCAACTGCCTCCTGCATGCCCCCTACTAGGGATTGAGCTCACAACCCAGGCATATACCCTTGATCGGAATCAAGCCCGAAACCCTTCAGTCCACAGGCTGATGCTCTATCCACTGGGCCAAACTGGCTAGGGCCTTCCCATTGGCCTTTAGATACTCTCACTAAATATCGTCTTTCAACTAGATACTGCCAGGCCAGGAGCCTGTTGACCTAGGGCAGTGATGGCGAACCTATGACATGCGTGTCAGAGGTGACACGCGAACTCATTTTTTTGGTTGATTTTTCTTTGTTAAATGGCATTTAAATATATAAACTAAATATCAAAAATATAAGTCTTTGTTTTACTATGGTTGCAAATATCAAAAAATTTCTATATGTGACACGGCACCAGAGTTAAGTTAGGGTTTTTCAAAATGCTGACACGCCGAGCTCAAAAGGTTCGCCATCACTGTCCTAGGGGCTTGCTATAATTCAAAAAGCAAATAGACTAAGAGGCACCCTTGGGATCCTATGGCCTCTTTCTGGTCGAGCCCCATGGCTGTCCTAGTGTCTTACTAACTGCAGGCTCTCGACCAACCTCAGAACTGAATTCCTGCTAGGATGGGAAAGGCCTGCTCCCACTGTATGGAAGTTGAGTAGCCAGTTGGGGAAGAGCCTGCCCCTGAGGAACCTGGAGTTAATCTGGAGATTCTCGGTGAGAGACTTTAACTTTTGGGGCCAGAGGCTCCTTCCTGAGCACGCGATAGTCCCTTGGAAGAGAAAGCTCAAACAACAGATGCAGAAGCCTGCTCAGCGGTACCTGAGATGGCCAAGCAGCTGTCCAGGCCTGGAGCCCAAGTCACTCGCAGCAGCTCTGGGTCAGGGCTGGGTGTGGACACTGGACACCGCACTGAGCGCACAGGATGGCAGAGGTCCCGAGGGTCAAGAAGACAGAGCAGCCCATCTGAGCACAGGCTGGCAATGCTGGGCCCAGGGCCCTGGCCCCTGACTTCTGCACACCACCTCCCTCCACCAGCCCCGGGGCTGGGGCTGACATTCTCTGCTGGCGCCCACTTCTGGCGGGTGTCAACGAGCCCCAGCCGGCCCGAGGTGCAGCAGAAGGCAAAGGTGTCCGCGTCCAGGACCTGCAGGCTACTCAGCTCCTCACTGTCACTGACACCTGGAAGACAGAGGGCGAAAGAGAAAAGCTGCTGGAGTTACATGGGTCTGGCAATCTGGCAGGGCTGGCTGGTCACAAGTCCCTTCCTCTGGGAAGCATCCCCAAACCCAGGCAGAATAAACCACGTCTCCCCTCTCCTGTTCATTTTTTTTTTAAAATATATTTTTATTGATTTTTTACAGAGAGGAAGGGATACGGATAGAGAGTTAGAAACATCGATGAGAGAGAAACATCAACCAGCTGCCTCCTGCACACCTCCCACTGGGGATGTGCCCGCAACCAAGGCACATGCCCTTGACTGGAATCGAACCCGGGACCTTTCAGTCCGCAGGCCGACGCTCTATCCACTGAGCCAAACCGGTTTGGCATCCTGTTCATTTTTTTAAAAATATATTTTTACTGATTTCAGAGAGGAAGGGAGAAGGAGAGAGAAACATCAATGATGAGAATCATTAATTGGCTGCCTCCTGCATGTTCCCCACTAGGGATCGAGCCCGCAACCCAGGCATGTGCCCCCGACCTTAATGGAACCCAGGACCCTCCAGTCCGCAGGCCAACGCTCTATTCACTGAGCCAAACTGGCTGGAGCTCTCCTGTTCATTTTGCCATTCTATCCACTGGTGGGTGCTGGTCCCAGGACTGCCTCCTCCAATCCTAGAACGGGAGCCGCTAGAGGTCGGGGCTTGCCTTTCATTCATCTTGTGTCCCCAACATTTGGCACACAGGGTTGGATTCAGTTCTAACGCAGCAGCGTAGGGGCAAACTGCGCTGTCCGTACCTGAGGTGTATGTGACCTTCTGGGATTCCAGATCCACAACCTTCAGGCCGCTGAGCCGCGCCCCGTGGAGGACTCCAGGTGCCACTGACGAGAAGATGGCGATCCTCGGCCAGAGACTCCCCTCTTTCTCATGCACAGCAATGGTGCGGACAGCTTCAATGACATCTAGGGGCAAGTGGAAGAGGTGAAAGTCCAGAATGTTAGTGAAGGTTTGAAACATAACCTGGTGCAAGCCAGCCAGCGGTCTTCCCCTGTACAGCTAGAAGGTCAAGGAAGAAAGGGAACTGACAGCTGGCTAGAGAGGATGTGGCATCACAAACACTCTGTGTTACGTTTACATTTTGAAACTGTCAGAAGCACTTTAATTTCTTTTTTAAAATATATTTTTATTGATTTCAGAGAGGAAGGGAGGAGAGAGAGATAGAAACATCAATGATAAGAGAGAATCATTGATCGGCTGCCTCCTGCACACCCTCTACTGAGCATCGAACAAGCAACCCGGGCATGTGCCCTTGACCGGAATTGAACCCAGGACCCTTCAGTCCACAGGCCGACGCTCTATTCACTGAGCCAAACCGGCTAGGGCGCACTTTAATTTCTTTATAAATTGTCTTATGAACTGTTTTGCAAATGGGAGATAATGAATCTCAGACGCCATCTCAAAAGCCCCCAAAGCAGTTCTGGCTTTTTATACTTTTGTGGAGTACAAATAAAAGGAAAGAATCCACTGATGGTGTCATTTACACTTTAAGTGAAGAAAATAACAGGAACAGAATTCATGAACTACCATTATTTCTTAAAAAACTTATTATACAACCTCGGCACTTTGCCGAAACCTTGCAGGTAAAGGTCACAAGGCAAATGTCATTGTCTTCAAACACAAAGTAGACAAAAAAGTCCATGTCCTTTTTACACTGAACAGGAAAGACACTTGACCTCAAGTTGAATCAAATTTTAGTTTTGTTTGTCTCAGCCTGCTTAGTGGACAGGCAGGCTCTCGTTTCTGCATCTACAACTGAGGCTTCTCTTAATAGGAGCCATTTATGACGTACGTCTTTCAGAACAAGCTGTCTACTGCACCAATTACTTTCCTGCTCCAAAAGGGGACTCGTTATTTGGTTCCCACAATCCCTGAAGAAAAGGGAGACGTATGTATTGTTTAAATTCTGAAGGAGGTAAAAGTCAGCCTATGAACAGAATGGATGAGGAACACGAACTAATATGACTTATGCAGCAGCAAGCACGTGAGCAAGGCCCCTCCGGACGGTTCACAAGCCAGGAGCGCACAGAAGGACCGGGGTGGGCTGACGAGAATGCGAGGATCTGAATGCCTACTGCTCCCCAAGCCCGGGGCTCTCAGAGCCCTGAATCCAGACTTGCTCACCTCACCTGCTCCCGGTACAGGTACAGGAGCGGCGGAGGTTCACGCAGACAACACCAGAGCCTCAGGACCAGAGTCTGTGCCGGGGCAGAGCCAATGAGGCTGTGATCCAAACCGGCCCAGCAGAGCCTCCCGCCTCTCCCAGGCCACCCTGAGCAGCTCCCTCTTCCCTCTCCACAGGTACCAGGCTCCCAGGACCTGCTGCTCTGCGCCAGGGGATGGCTCTCACATGTGATTTGTCTCCTGACGGTGGGCGGGGAAGGAGGAGGCCGAGGGGAAGCCTTCAAAGACGTATTTCAAAGAGGCAGTGGAAAACAAAGGCTTTGGAGGCTCCTGATGAGAGAGCTGCTCTACAATCACAGTGAATATGCAGGCTTCCTCTTCCTCTCTCTCTAGTAAAATGCCCTCCTCTACGGAATCCACACCACACGGACCAAACCAGCCCCGAACTGCAAAGAGAAACTGCTACAAATCAAAGCAAAAGACACAGGCAGGCATCTCCAAGAGCTTGGCGACGAAAGACAGTTGTGTCTGAAGATTAAACCAACACAGAGCAGGTCAGAGCAGAGGCAGACACATCCTTCAGGAGTCAGAATGGTGCCCAGACCGCATGACTGAGCACATGCATGAACAGCTCTGAAGTGCGATCCACGGGAAGGGCTGCCCAGCCAAGGGGTCAAAGAAAATGCTGAGGCCTGTCCGGGGCAGAGGGCGCCACACCAGACTGAATATCTAACTTCAAAGGGGAAGCAGCAGGTGACACTCAGCTGAGACCTTTGGATATTTATTTATGCAGCTCAGTGGTTCCCCCAGCCCCAGAACTGAGAGGGGGCCTCGGGCACTGTCCAGGAGCATGGACAGCAGGAGCCTGGGCAGCTGCCTTCACAAGTTTCATACTTTCTGCCTGAGAGCCACGAACACACACTCAGGAAGCCTCTGAGCTGACTCCTCTGGTGACGGTTACCTTTATCATGACACCTCTGACCGGGTTAGGTCTTCCACAAGCAAGAAGAAGGGCCTGAAATATTCCATATTTAAGGGATACTTATTTTTTCATTATCTATAATAATAATAATAATAAAAGCATAATATGCTAATTAGACCGATGTCCTTCAGGAGGAAGCCGGGGCTACAAGGGAAGCCCGGGTCCCAGGTGCCTGTCAGCAGCCAGAGGGAAGCCTGGGTCTCGGGTGCCTGCTGGCGGTTGGAAGGAAGCCTGAGTCCCGGGTGCCAGAGGGAAGCTGGTGCCTGCAGCCGGGAGAAGGAAGGCCTATTGTTTTTTTTTTTCTTAAATATATTTTATTGATTTTTTTACAGAGAGGAAGGGAGAAGGATAGAGAGATAGAAACATCAATGAGAGAGAAACATTGATCAGCTGCCTCCTGCACACCTCCTACTGGGGATGTGCCCGCAACCAAGGTACATGCCCTTGACTGGAATCGAACCTGGGACCTTTCAGTCCGCAGGCCGACGCTCTATCCACTGAGCCAAACCAGTCAGGGCAGAAAGGCCTATTCTTGCACAAATTTTGTGCATCGGGCCTCTAGTAAACTAATAAAATTGCATTCTGGTTTATATGGCAGTCATGTGAGTCTGATGAGTGCTTCAGCTCCTATAAACAGATTGGAATTGTTTTAGACGTGCTGACAAAATCAGGTTTGAGACACCAAAGCTGTGGGTCAAGACTGGATCCTGGAAAATTCACCCAAATAACACTATACTTTTAAGTTTCCAGGTAAAAGCTGGCCAGCCTTCCCCAGGCTCCAGAATATTCTGCACTAATATCTAGGGAAGATAACTCTTATCTGATTTCCTAATCCCACACGAGTATCAGAGAAGCCTGGGCTCATCAGCTCCCCTGGGCCTGGGCTACAGGTTCTACAAGGTACCTGGTACCCCAGGCACTGGCAGGACAAAAGGTGCCTCCTAATGGTTGGTAATACTCCGGTATCTCTCATCTTTAAACCACTGCAGCCCCTCACAGTCTACTTTTGGGCAAACTACAAGTTACTGGCATAAGGGCAGATATAAAGATCAATGGAACAGAAGTGAGAGTCCAGAAGTAAATGCTTAGATTATGGTCAATTGATTTTCAACAAAGGCACTAAGGCAAATCAATGGAGAAAGGTTAGGCATTTTGACAAATGGTGATGGAACAACGGGATATCCACATGCAAAAAGATCAACTGAGATCCTTACCTCACACCATACACAAAAGTTAACTTGAAAGAGATCATAGATTTAAATATTGAAGAGAAAAAAAAACAGAACTTCCTTTTGGGAAAAATAAAACATGGGAAAATTTATGAGTTAAATAAAGATTTCTTAGATATGACATGAAAAGCATAGTCCCTAACAAAAAACAGTGATAAATTAGACCTCATCAAAATCTAACACTTTTATGTTTCAAAGGACACTATTAAGAAAACAAATATGGCCCTAACCGATTTGGCTCAGTGGATAGAGTCGGCCTGCAGATGGAAGGGTCCCAGGTTCAATTCTGGTCCAGGGCCAATGCCCGGGTTGCAGGCTCTATTCCCAGCAGAGGCAGCTGACCAACGATTCTCTCTCATTGATGTTTCTACCTCTCTCTCCCTCTCCCTTTCTCTCTGACATTAATAAAAATATTTATTAAAAAAACAACAACAGTAGCCCTAGCCATTCTGGCTTAGTGATTAGAGTGTTGGCCCACAGACTGAAGGGTCCCAGGTTCGATTCCAGCCAAGGGCACATGCCTGGGTTTCGGGCTCGATCCCCAGTAGGGGGCATGCAGGAGGCAACCAATCAATGATTCTCTCTCATCATTGATGTTTCTATCTTTCTCTCCCTCTCCCTTCCTCTCTGAAATCAATACAAATATAAACAAAACAAAACAAAAAACAACAGCAATCATAACTATAAGTAAGTGACACAAACACCTGGAAGCAACAAGAAATGACAAAAAAGAAACAATAAAGGAAGGTGCATAGGGTCAGTGACCTCAAAGCAAAGGAGCACAACCACCGCCTCTCTACAACCCCTGCGGCCAGTTTCCGGCAAGCATCCATGTGAGTGTGGGGACCCGCTGGCAGGCACAGAATCACACAGGCAAATGGGCAGTTCCAAGAGCGACAGCCTGTGCGTCGGAGGCACACTTGCATGCTGGCCAAGGATGCTCTAACTGAAGGGGGAAGGAAGGGCTGCATCAGGGCTGCAGGCTCTGACACCTGCCTGACCGGAATGCACAGAACTGCCCTCCACTCCCCGAAGGAGCAGGGGTAGAATGACTCCTCTGAGGGAGATGGGTCAGCCCAGCTTCTGGCCCACTCTACCAGGCTGGGCAGAGAGAGGTGACCTCCTGCTGCCTCCTCCTCCTCCTCCAAGAGGTGAGCTCACCTGAGTGGCCATCGCTCTGTCCTAGCCTCTGCCACTGCACCTGCCTGGGGGAGGGGAAGCTCACTCCATGCTCCGCCTATGACTGGGTTGGTAACCTCAGTTCCTGAAGCAAGTTACAGGAAGCTCCATTTGGGGCTGTGTGCCGTGCTGTAGTTGCTAACTTGTCTACACCTGCATTAAAGTAGACACTGAATTTTATTTATTTAATTAATTAATTTATTTAAATATATTTTATTGATTTTTTACAGAGAGGAAGGGAGAGGGATAGAGAGTTAGAAACATCGATGAGAGAGAAACATCGATCAGCTGCCTCCTGCACACGCCCTACTGGGGATGTGCCCGCAACCAAGGTACATGCCCTTGACCAGCATCGAACCTGGGACCCTTCAGTCCGCAGGCAGATGCTCTATCCACTGAGCCAAACTGGTTATGGCGACACTGAATTTTAATTCCCACCTGGCTCAGAGTCTACTTTTTTTTAAAAAAATTTTTTTTTATTGATTTCAGAGAGGAAGAGAGAGGGAGAGAGAGAGAGAAACATCAATGATGAGAGAGAATCATTGATCGGCTGCCTCCTGCATGCCCCCTATGGGGATTTGAGCCCACAACCCGGGCATGTGCCCTCATCAGGAATTGAACTGTGATCTCCTGGCTCATAGGTTGATGCTCAATCACTGAGCCACGCTGGCCAGGCCTGAGTCTATTGCTTAATTGACTCGGATTAGGGGATGGAGGTGTCAACCCGTACCATGTCAAATTCACTCACCACTGTCCTCTGCGATCTGCCACACCTGCAGGTAACAACCTGGAAGGCCACTGGTCACCAGCAACCTATTTAGGAGGGATAGATCTCCGTTCAGACAGTGAGCCCACATCCCCCCCCAGCCTTTCCGCTCTCCAGCCCACTCAGCTTGAGATTCCTACACGCCCACCTCAGGAAAGCTCACTGGAGGAAGGACTGTCCCGTTACCCTCATTTAACAGAGGAAGAGCAGGCTCACTCCACTTCAGGGACAGGCCCACGGTCATGAGAGCCACGGGACTGAGCCCAGGCTTCCATGTGGCACGAAGTGTCCCAGACAGGACACCAGCATGGAGCCTGAACACACAGCCGACCCAGACTTTCAGCATCTGCCAATGGAGCCATTCGCCCTCGCCACCCACCATCAGCTCTCTGAGAAACCAAGAGCATCTTCCTATTCTCTATCTATTTGGAGCAGCTCTGGAGATCTGTGGGTTATAGTCATTGAAGGTCTGCAGAGGGACCACGAAGCTGCCAAACAAAAGGTTCCTTGTATCACAGATTTCTGTGTATGTGCGCGCGCGCTCACATGTATCCAGGTGCTCAGGGGTCAGGGGCGGCGCGGTGATAAAGAGGCAGAATACCTTTGACATTTCCAGCCACTTCATCCTGAATGGAGGGTCTGAGTAAGCGAGCTGACCATACCTGGTGTCTGGCACGTGCTTCAGATCAAAGATAGACCTGTCTGAAAATCCTCCGTGGCAGACCTTGAAATCTCTTTCTGGGAATAAGCCCTGAAATACGGAAGGGTGGCCAATCAGATAGAGCCTGCTCTCCAAAGGGACCTTTCAGACTCGCTCTAGGTGAGAAGCCCGATACCAGCCTGGCAGGAGGCCACGGAGGCAGCTCTGCTGGCAACAGATGCTCCTCCCTGCAGGACCTTGTGTGCTGCTATTTGTCCGTTGGTCTCAGCTGCCTACATGGACAGCTTCCTTTCTTTCCTGCACGTCCAAAACCCTTCTGCTACCCTTTCCCCAGCCCCTTTCGTTCTAACACAAGTGTTACATTTCCGGCCTTCTGAGGGGAGTCACAAGGTTTAACAGCTTCATCAAAAAAAGCTAGAACCCTGGCTGGGTAGCTCAGTTGGTTAGAGCATCATCCCAATATGCTGAGGTTGTGAGTTCAATCCCTGGTCAGAGCACATATAAGAATCAATCAGCCCTAGCTGGTTTGGCTCAGTGGATAGAGCGTTGGCCTGTGGATGGGAGGGTCCTGGGTTCAATTCCGGTCAAGGGCACATGCCTGGGTTATGGGCTTGGTCCCCAGTGTGGGGCAGGAGGCAGCCGATCCATGATTCTCTCTCATCATTGATGTTTCTCTCTCTCTCCCTTTCCCTTCCTCTCTGAAATCAATAAAAATACATTAAAAAAAAGTCAACCAATGAGTGTATCAATAAGTGAAACAACAAATTGATGTTTCTCTCTCTCCCTTCCTCTCTAAAATTAATTTTTTTAAAAATATATTTTTATTGATTTCAGAGAAGAAGGGAGAGGGAGAGAAAGATAGAAACATCAATGATGAGAGAGAATCATTGATTAGCTGCCTCATACACACCCCACACTGGGGATCGAGTCTGCAACTGGGCATATGCCCTGACCGTATGCTAGCTGGGCTAATTTTTTAATAAAGGTGGAAGGTATCAGCCAACTAACATATCTCCATTTCTCATGCCACCTTCCACTGGAAATCAAGTGGGTTCTTCTAGTAATAAAAATATAACAACTACCAATTATCCAGCATTTACCAGGCACTGTGTTTAGTGCTTTACATACTTTATCACATTGGATTCTAGAAGTAGGTACTATAATTAACCCTACTCTAAAATGTCAAAAACAGCCCTAGCCGGTGTGGCTCAGTGGCTAGAGCATCGGCCTGAGGGCTGAAGGGTCCTGGATTCAATTCTGGTTCAGGGCGCATGCCTGGGTTCTGGGTTCAATTCCCAGGTAGCCAATCAACGATTCTCTCTCATCATTGAGGATTCTACCTCTCTCCCCCTCTCCCTTCCTCTCTCTGAAATCAATAAAAAATAAATAAAATAAAACAACAACAAACACCATCCTTTAAAAAAAATAAAATGTCAAAAGTAAGGCCTGGGGAATTTAAACAATTTTTGAAGATCACAGAGGGGATTATGTTGTGAATTTGAACCTAAGTCTGTCTACCAGTCCATGCTCTTAGCCACTGGACTACTGTCTCCATGTGAGGAGCTGGAGGCAGGGAAAAAGGAAGTGGCACAAGAGGAAAACCCAGGGGTGAGGTGGGAGGTAAATCAGGTCTCTCATAAAGGCCCAGTCTGGGGGGCTCCTGGCTCAAACCTGAGTGGTGGGGTGGGGTGATCAAGAGCGCTATGTCGGAAATCTCCCCAGGGCAACACCAGGTGGCTACCAACTCTTTTCTTTTGTCATATTCTCTTCTCTTGGCTTGAAACACTGACCTTTTCTGAGACTCCTCCTACTTTACAGATTATTCCTTCCTAGTACAGTGGGGCCTTGACTTACGAGTTTAATTCATCCCGAGACCGAGCTCATTAAGGAGCTTATTAACTCAAATTACTCTATCAACTCAATGCAAAAAATCGGCCAAGAGACAGCTGGTATCTCAAAAAACTCGTTAGTCGGAACACTCGTAAGTCAAGGCCCCACTGTATTCCTTGTGAGTTCATTTTCCTCTGCCCATTCCTTAAATGTATCCTCTGAAGTTCTGTCTTTAGCCACCTTCCCCTCTTATTTCTTACTAAAGGCCTGGTGCATAAAATTCGTGCACTCAGGGTGGGGGTCCCTTAGCACTCGGGATGAGAGATCCCTCGAGGGATGTCTCACATCCTTAGAGCTGCTGGAGGTGGAGAGGCTCCCACCACAACTGCGCTCACCAACCATGAGCCCAGCTTCTGGCTGAGCAGTGTGCTCCCTGGGGCAGCTCCTGCATGAGCGTCTGCCCCCTGGTGGTCAGTGTGTGTCATAGCGACCAGCTGTTCAGCTGTTTGGTCAATTTGCATATTAGCCTTTGATTGTATAGGATACATTACACACATTCATTCTTAACCATTCTAAGGGTTTCATCCACCCTCTATATCCTAATGGCCCCAGGTATCTAATTTTGATAAACTAAAACGGACTTCTTCCTCTAGTAACCCTCTGTAATCACAGGAGGTTCCTTAGTACTTATCCATGTGAATATTTCCCTCCCTCTAGTAGACTAGAAGGGCAGGCCCAGGGTTTCTCTCTCTCGCTCTCTTTCTAGTATCCAGGACAATAGCTGGTAGACAACAGGAACTCCATAAAGGTTTAATAAATGACTAAAAGCAGACACATATACTCAGCATTTATATTTCAAATTACCTGGTTTTCTTTTACAGAAAGCCGGGGGGGTAACGTCAGGTGAAGAATTTCATTTTTTTTCAACTTTTCATAGCCAGCAACAAAAACTCCTGGAAAAAAGAAGCAGAAGTAGCTGTGACAAACTGCTAGAAAGACTGTGGACCATGGCTGGCTCTAGAAACTCCGCCAAACCCATTGATACTCAGACTTGTACTGGGGGATGTAAGAGATCTAGAACTTAGTAAGTGCTTTTGGAGCACAAAATTGCTCAAGGGGCCCTCAGATAAGTGGGCTGGATCCCTCTGGGCTGAGCTCTGGAGTCCCAGCCTGAGTGGGATTCCATCTCCTCACCTTTGTCACCAATCCATTCAAGGACTCGAGTGGCTCCTGGGAGGTCGAATGCATGGAAATCCTGGTACCTGCAGGAGAGAGACACAATGTCACACGGTGCCTGGCACTTGGCAGCTGTTCAAGAACTCTGAGAGGCATCACGGTTTGGTGGCTGGAGGCCCAGGCTCTGGAGTCAGGCAAACCTGGAATCAAGTCTTGTTACACATTCTGCTCTCTGTGTGACTGGAACCAGGCCAGTCACAATAACCCTGAGCCTCGGTCCTCATCTGTAACATGGACCTCCCAGAGAACCCAGCCTTCGCCTGTTGATGTGAAGAATCCATGAGACAGCCCCTAGCCCGTGGTCGGCAAACTGCGCCTCGCGAGCCACATGCGGCTTTTTGGCCCCTTGACTGTGGCTCTTCCACAAAATACCACATGTGGGCGCCCACGTACAGTGCGATTGAAACTTGGTGGCCCGTGTGCAGAAGTCAGTTTTCAGCCTGGGCGAGTCTATTTTGAAGTACTGTTGATATTTGGCTCTGTTGACTATTGAGTTTGCCGACCACTGGACCCGGTTTAGCTCTGTGGACAGAACGGAGGCCTGCGGACTGAAGGGTCCTGGGTTCCATTCTGGTCAAGGGCACATGCCCAGGTTGTGGGCTCGATCCCCAGTAGGGGGCGTGCAGAAGGCAGCCGATCAATGATTCTCTCGCATCATTGGTGTTTCCATCTCTCCCTCTCCCTCTGCCTTCCTCTCTGAAATCAATAAAAAAATATTAAAAAAGAATCCATGAGACAATTAATCTGGGGTTCAATTCAGAGGCTGGTGCAAAATAACTGGACACTTATTACCCTGCACAACTCTGCTCTGACTAGTGCCTCACACAACTTGCGCCCGCAGGGATGTGCCATCTCCCAGAAGCGGGATCCGAGGCCCAGGCGGAGTCCTCGTGCGGTCCGGCCCGCCCCGCCCGCGGGCATCACCCGCCCGGCCCAGACCTGGATTCCCCACGCGCTGCGCCTCGCGCCCGCCCGCCCGCCCCGCCAGCTCAGACCCGAAAGCCCGGTCCCAGGTCCACACGACATACAAGCGCAAGGATTCCACCAGCCAGTCTTCCGCGGACTCCATGGCAACTGTCGCTCAGGTAGCTCACTTCCGCCACCCCACTTCCGCTTCAGAACCTTCCGGGCGGGAGGGGCCTTCTCGCGAGGAGAGGGCGCGTCCTGCTCCGACGCAGGGGGCGTGGCCTCACGCCAGGGGCGGGGCTAGAGTTGCCCGAGCGTCGCCAATGGCCAGCTGTACCCGTGCTCTGCTAGGTGAGGACTTCTCCCGGCGAAAGTATGTAGAATCAGGAATTCCCGGGATAACAGCTCCGGCCCGGGCCTGAGGGACCAAATACGGTTCGTTTTACGACCGGGTATTTGCAGATCAGAGGGCCAAGGCCAGATAAGACACAGGACGGCCGGTTAAATTCGAATTTTAGGTTAAATAACGGAACACTTTTTCTTGTAAGTATGTCCATGCAATATTAGGCCATCTTATACGAAAAAAAGGATTGCTTATCTGAAATTCGAATTTAACTGGGTGTCCTTTATGTTTTGCTAACTTTGGCAATCCTACGGAACGCCTGAGAAGAGTGAGAGAGGACAGAAGGGTCTGGATCCCAGCTGGCCCGCACCCTTGTGGGCGCTGGGGGCTCCCCTCAAAGCTTGGCGTGAGCATGAAATGAACGGGGTAAGCAAAGCCCCGGGTAAGGTAGGTGTAGTGTAGGCAGCTGCCTTTTATGGGTGAGGAAACTCGAGAGACTTGCTTGTGCCAGTAGGTGGCAGAGAGGACAGTAGAACCAATTGCCTGGCACAGGACCTGGTGTACAGCAGGTGTGGAGCACCTGTTTGCTGAATGAGCTAGTGAGGTGTCCTGAGTCAGTGCCAGGCTGGTACCATGGAGTGTTCTGGGCATTTTGGAACCAACCCCATCTCCAGCCCCCTTCCCCCCACCCTATCCCCTCAAACACACTGGAAGGAGAGGACCAGACATTCTATGTAAAGAGCAGGGTTTTATTCACAACTTCAACAGGGAAGCAAGAAATACAGCAGGAACGTAAGTTGTGTCTGCACTGGTGATATTCCTGGTGACCCGACCAGAAATCACAGTAATGGAGTAACAGAGATTTGAGCCCAGAATTTACATCCAGATGGGGCCACTACCAGGGTCCCCTTCAGCACCTTCCCGGGGTGGGCACAGTCTAAGCCACGCTGTGTCTTCCTCATTAATGGCATCACTTCTGCAGCGTTTGCACCAGCAGCCTCCTATACTGAAGGGGAACACAGAAGAGCTGACCTGGGCACGGGGAGCCAATAATAGGGCATTCTGCCATTCCTAAGTGCTAGGCATCCACAGAATCAGACAGGGATAGACTCTCGTCTGAGGCAGGCAGCCCCCACCCCCTCTCTCCCCCCAGCACCTGAAGAAGGGTGATTTTCTCACATTAACAGCCCAAACCTCAGAGTGGTCATGACATTCAAGGGAGACCATGGAAGTAAATTCCAAGTAGGGTGGCTGGCCGTCTGCCAGTGTTAGCGTTTTCACTCCCTGACACCTCACTTCTGAAGCCCGTCCCCAGGGCTAGGTACTGCTTCCTCTGAGATTCTCTAGTTGGTCTGCTCGTTTCAGGCCGCCTAGACCAATGGCCCCAGAGGTAACATCGTCTCCCTTCAGAGTAGCCAGCCCAAGGCCCCCAGGGGCAGGTGGGTCTGTGCATCAGCAGAATCACAGCTGCACCTTCTCTAGGGCATGCCCCTCCCTTCTTTCAAAATGTACACTTTATACGCTCGGCAGTGGGGGATTCAAAGGTGAGCCAGGCCCAGCCAGTGTGGCTCAGTGGTTGAGTGTCAACCTATGAACCAGGAGGTCACAGTTCGATTCCTTGTCAGGGCACATGCCAGGTTGCAGACTCAATCCCCAGTGTGGGTTGTGTAGGAGGCAGCCGATCAATGATTCTCTCTCATCATTGATGTTTCTACCTCTCCCTCTCCCTTCCTCTCTGAAATCAATAGAAATATATTAAAAACAAAGGTGGGTCAGCAACAGGTGCTGCCAGGGTTCTCAGACCATCTAGCTCCCATTTACTAAGCACTTTCTATGTGCCTGGAGTCATGCTGAGCAAATGATACGGTCTCATTTAACGGGAAATGGCACTGTTATTCCCATATTATGGGTGAGAAAGATGAGGCTTAGAGAGGTTAAGTGACATTTCTAAGGTCACACAGCTACTAAGAGCTAGGTTTTGAATCTAGCACACTGTCACCAGAACCCACCCCTACCACTCACTCTGCCTTCCACACACAGCACACCGTACCCGGGAAGGTGGTGTGGGACAGGGACCACCCCAGGGGCAGGGAGTGGCTACAGACTAAGGCTGGCTTGGTCAACCAAGGGTGATTTTAACCCCCACTCATTTCCCTTTGCTAGAGCACCTGTGGCAATATCTGAAGGCATTTTTGGTTATCACAGTTAGGGAGGTGGGGGATGCTCTGGTGGACAGAGACCAGGGATGCTGCTAAACTTCCTGTGATGCAAAGGACAGCCCCCACAGTCCAGACATTCTGTCAAGAGTATGTTGAGGCGCCCTAACCGGTTTGGCTCAGTGGATAGAGCGTCAGCCTGTGAACTCAAGGGTCCCAGGTTCGATTACGGTCAAGGGCATGTACGTTGGTTGTGGGCATATCCCCAGTAGGGAGTGTGCAGGAGGCAGCTGATAGATGTTTCTAACTCTCTATCCCTCTCCCTTCCTCTCTATAAAAATTCAATAAAATATATTTTTTTTTAAAAAAGTGTGCTAAGGCTGAGAAACCCTGCCATAGGCCACTGAGGCAGGAGACAGTCTGGGAAGAGCACTGGTCAAGGTGAACAAGGTGGGACTCTGTCTCGGCTGCTAACTGAATCTTATCTCCCCCTCTGTGGGCCTCAGTGTCCCAACTCTAACCACAAGCATATTCAGGGCACAGCAAGGGTGGACAGGTGGGGTGGGGATAAGTCTGTTTGGACTGTGGGTGGAAGGTCCAGCTGCAAGAGGCTGGATAATCCTAGGCTGTGACCTCAGACTGGGCAATCGGAGGGGAAACTTCTCCCCCTACTTCTTTCTTAATTATCAAGCTTGCTTTCTTATTTTAAAATTTTTTTCCTTTCTTTTGATTTCTTCACCTTCTTGTATTTTTCTTCTAAAAAACATTTTTATTGACTTCAGAGAGGAAGGGAGAAAGAGAGAGATAGAAACATCAATGATGAGAGAGAATCATTGATAGGCTGCCTCCTGCACGCCCCCTACTGGGGATGGAGCCCACAACCCAGGCATGTTCTCTTGACTGGAATCGAACCCGGGACCCTTCAGTCCGCAGGCTGACACACTATCCACTGAGCCAAACCAGCTAGGGCGTCACCTTCCTTTCTTTGGAGTCCTCTCCCTTTGAGCTCTGGATCACAAAGAGAGCCTGGAATCCCTGGATTTCTGGGGCCCATCACACCTGGTTAGGCAGGCACACCCTAATCCCAAGGCAGGAGCAGGGGCAGCCCCGGCTAAGCCTCTCCTGGGCCAGTGGTGGGGGCCTGGCTCACCTGGGTGTGAGGTGCTGGGCCACCGGGGCTCATGCCCAGAGCTTTCTTCAGCAGGAGGATCCTGAGCAGATCATGACTCAGCTGCAGTCTCTGGTCCCCCAGGGAGGCGTGGGGACCTGTCTCCAGTAGGGATGAGCCGGGGGGCGCCAGGCTCTTCTTGCCCATGAAGTGACCTAGAAAAGAGGTTCCGATAAAAAAAAAAAAAAAAAAAAAAAGTGGTGCCTCGACACAAGGAAGTGAGGGAGCAAGGATCCTATCACAGTGGGGAAGCTCCCATCTCTCCCACCTTTTAGTTCTCATGGAAGGAATACACTCCTCACCAAAGAGCCGTAAAGACCCTAGTGGTGGCAAAGCCTGTGTCTCAACTTTCCCTGAACAGGTGGAGGGGGTGGAGAGGATGGTGCAGCTGGAAGGCGGGATGGGCCAGGGCCAGGGCCAACCCTGCCAGTTGTGCTGCCTGCTTGGAAGTGGACAATGAGGAGGTTTCTGGACGGAAGAGGTGCAGGGAGAAGACAGAGGTTAGCGGAGTCGGTAGGTCTTGTTTAAACAGAAGAAGGGGCAGAGCTCTGAGGCAGATGGAGCACCCAGCTCAGCCTTGTTGGACACTAGCTGAGTGATCTCAGCCACTCTCTCACCTGCCTGGGTCTCAAGTTCCCCATTTAATTAGAGGAGTTCCAGGGTCCCCACCAGCCCAGGCACTGATGTCTGTGGCTGAGGGGCGGCCAGAGAAGGAAAAGGGGATGAGAGCATGCTGGTGAGGGGCGCTTGCCCGGGTCCCAGGGACTTACCGGTGGCCCAGAGGTTGCCCCGCGGGTGCACGCGGATTTTGCCGGCCCGGCTGCGGGGCTCCCGGAGGTCCCAGCTGAGTGAGGCGGCGCTGGCAGCGAGCAGAGCGAAGAGCAGGACGCCGCCGAGCCACCGAGCGCCCCCCGCCCGCAGGGCCATCGTGGCCTGGCCGCACCGCGGAGCTGCAAGCTTCCACCGCGGCTCCAGTCTCCCGGCGCCTTCCCAGCTTTTAAACCCGCGCCCCTGGGGGCGGGGCCTGCCCGAGCCCGCCCCCCAGTGCCCGCCCCGCCCCATCAGCCCTGCTCCCAGGTCCAGGTCAGGGGCCGCCACAACCTGCACACCCGCACTCCCGCCCCAGTGGCCTCCGCTTCCTCATGCGAAGGACCTGGCCCTCCCTCTCCACTCCCACCCGCTTTCGCCCAACGAGTGATAATTTCACCTCTAAGCCTCCCTTCATGAGGGCAAAACTGGGGGCGAGGATGCCGCCTCCCTTGTCGCAAAGGCGTTAGCGCCCCGCCAAGTGCCAGGTACTAGAGGAGCTCCCTCCCCCGGGGCTCTGGCCAGCTCTGTCCGCTCATCGCCAGAAACCACGGCAGGCGCCTGGGATGGGGAAGTAGAACGGCGGTGGGATAAGGGGACGCCCCCCCCCCCCCCCCACATGACCCCCCGCCCCCCTGCTGCGGAGAGCCTGGCCATCAGCTGGGCAGGAGGCGGCAGATCCCCGGGTCAGGGGAGTGAGCACTGGACTAGGAGTCCATATACCAGCCGGGTGACGTCCTGGAACTTCACTGTCTTCAACTA